TATATATATATATATATATATTATGTGTGATTATGAGTTAAATAGCCTCGTGTTCTTGTATGTTATAGCGATTGTCGTCTGTTATGTATAAAACGTTGAAAATATGTTTAAATATCTTTAGGAGAATAAATTAATTTTTGATAAGAATCTTTTATTTATGTTTTAGATATTTAAATTTAATCTGTTTTGATTATTTTATGATGTGTTTCCTTATTTCTTTAATAAGATAATATCAATATTTGATTTTGTATGAAAAATTTTCTTCACAAAAAGAGACCTCATGAATAAAATTACATTATACTCATCTGATAAAAATTATATTTCTACAAAATGTAAATATAAAATAACTCATCATTGGTATCTAGAGCTAAGGTTACAACTTGTAGAGATGGAAGCAGAAACAAACTTTTCACAAATTTGCCTACTTATTTTTGACGGAGAAAGTTATGATCTTCGGGTAATGAGATTGGAGACCTACTTAGAAGCTTTAGATCTCTGGAAAATTGTAGAAGAAGATTATGATGTTTCTGCATTGCTAGACAATCCTACCGTAACTCAAATGAAAATTCACAAGGAAAGAAAAATCAAGAAGACAAAAATAAAAAGTTGTCTTTTTGCCTATGTTTCACAAAATGTTTTTACTAGGATCATGACTCTCACATCAACCAAAGCAATTTGGGATTATCTAAAGGAAGAATATGCTAGAGATGAGAGGATTTGATGTACATCCAAGTATTGAATTTAATGGGAGAATTTGAGTTACAAAGAATGAAGGAGACTGACACAATCAAACAATACTCATTGTTGGGATATAAACAAGTCATATATCGATAAAATAAGAAAAGAAATAACAATTTATAAAACATATATATACTCCAATGATTGAAAAACCTTTTGAGTAGTAACTAAAAGTAAAGTTGTGAGCGCTTAGGCCCAAAGTAGACAATATCTCATCATTGTGGAATTGTCTGTGAAATAACCTTATAAAAATAATCTTTATAAAATATTCCCTCACACAAACTGCATTTAAGTTGTCGCAAAAACCCTATTTGCAAAGCTATATAACGACCAAAAAAAATTTGGTCGCTATTTAGCGACTGAAAATTTTGGTTTAGCGACCGAAAATTTTGGTCACTGTTTAGCGACCGAAAATTTCGGTCGCAAAATAGTTGCAACGATTTTGGTCATTGATGTGTATGGGGACCAAATTAGTGACCGAATAAATTGGTCGCTAAATCGGTCACCAAAGATTTATTTTTTATTTTATTAAATTTTATAGATGTCGTAAATTCGGTCGCTACGAAACACTCATATTTGGCCTCTCAAGGATTCTATTTCACAATACTTCACTTTTTAGCATGTTTTGTCCTTAATTACACAATTTTTGGGAAACTTCCCAGAAGGTCACCCATCCCTATATTACTCCAAGTCAAGCATGTTTAACTGTGGAGTTCTGATGAAATAAGCTACCGAAAAGCAGATGCATGTTGTTAGTATAGGTAGCACAAATTAATTCATTTAAGTCATCCTCAACTATACAATCTCAACTTATACTATCTTTGGATCTTTCTCATTTCGATGTGTCCAGACCGTTATAATATATAATAATATATGTACTGACCGCATTTCGCACCCGGGCTCTCAGCCCGGGTTGACATTATAAGGATCATCACGGGCACGCGTTGAACAACATCAGCCTGGAATCCGGACAGATCACGCCCGAGCCCGGAGATCTCGTCCCAGGCTAAAACCGTTCTCCAATTATACCATATTATGTCACAACGTGATCATATCATATTATATGATATCGTATCATATCATATCTTATCTCAGGCCCAAGACAACCCTAACTCACACAAAGGTATGTGCATTATATATACGAGACTCATACTCATACAAACCCTAACTTTAGCATCGGAGTCTCTTTTGCAGGTACCTCCCCCATCTCGGAGCACCAATACACCCAGCGAAGGAGGCTCACCAATCTTACCCGGCGGATCAGCTCTACAGCAGATTTCCGGTAAGAACAG